ATTGAATATATTTATATGATCTATAATAAAATGACGGAATTTAATTGAAGAATTCTAATTGAAAGATAACAGGATATTTAATAATTTTTTTAAGAAGAGGATAATGAAAATTACAAACCGATACCATTATTTTTTATTTATAAGTAAAATAAAATATAAATCGATCTATTTGAATATATAATATATAAGCGCATTCATTTCATTATAATTTCTTATTCATAATTTTAATTTTTATATTTAAATTTATTTCTAGAATTTGAAATGCCGTGACACGATAACTATTTTTCATAAAATTAATAAATATATATATTTTTTAATAAATATATTATATTAATACATAATAATCCTAAGTCCAAAATATTTGTAATTATTAGGTATTTTTATTAATTATCTCATTCGTATAAAGATGAGGGCACGAGCTCGATAAAAAGAACTATTTCTCAATATATATTCTCGACAAGAAGAATATCGGTGATATATGAAAATATATTATTAATTAAATAATTCTTTTTCTCTCTCGTAATCTATATTTGATATTCTCAATCTTTTTATATATTTATTATTTTCAATATATATTCTAAATCATTCGATTATTCTAATAATTTCATTATATATTCTAATATATGAAATAAAGAAAATATAGAATATTATATACCATATAATAAATAGAAAATATGATGAAAACCTAGGTATTCTATTTATATCGGGATTTTATCCAAATTTTCCCCTTAGAATAGCCTAAAACTCAAGAAATAATTCTTATACCAAATAATGGATTCAAATTCATATCATGTCATTTCTTTTGATTTCATTCCCTTGATTCTTTCTATCGCCTGGTCTTCTTTCTTCCATATAGCCTTTATCTATTATATCCGTTGTCCTTATATCCTTATTATCTTTTTATCATTTTGATTCCTGAATTGAATCCTTACTTATTTCTATATTTCTATAAAGTATTTTCGACTATTTTATTCTATTATTCTGTCATTTATACACCCTGAAACTTTTCTCTTAAGATACCTCTATTGATTCAAGTGCTCAATTTAGCCTCGTCTCGCAAAAGCTAACGGCCACTTATAAACGAGCCTCTTTCTAGATTCTCTAAATTTTTTTAATTTTTATCTTCGTGGCTTCAAGATATAAATATAATAGCTTCAAAGGCTCTAGATCTAGCTCTATAAGGACGGAATTATCAGGACCTCCTATAGAAGGCATCATTTTCTTTTTATATTTCTCAGTCGTATCGGTCGTATGGCGAATATTTTTCGAGACCCCAATCTTTATGAGAATTTTATCATTTTTCTTTATAATATTAGTGGAGCTGGCTTTGGAGAGTTATGGTGCCTCCTTATGAGAATCTCTGAAAATTAGAGATATATTCTTTTAGGGTCCTTATATTGAGATCCTATTATTTAGGGAGTTATATTAAAATCTCCTATTTTCGGAAATTCCCATATCGTATATTTAAAGCTTTATATCATGACGAAATTAAATAACTAAAAAGAATTTATATAATATATCAAGTCGGATCAGTATAAGCAATACGAATGAATAAAGATAAGAATGAAATTATTAAAATCTAAATCACCAATAAGAAAAAAATTTTTAATAAAAATAGAAATTTTATAGATTATAATATATTTTTGCCCTCCCCACCTCGTCCCCCATATAGATTTCAATTTTAGAAGAGAAGTTCGGAATTAATTATTCTATTTTTATTCTATATTCTCTTCTAATTTCAAGTTAGTCATTTTTATTTTCTAAACCATAATCAATAATCTTAAATTCATAATATAGAATTCATATAAAATCTAATCATTATAAAAATAGATCGAATCCATATTATATTCTAATTCTCTAAAGAAAAATTCAGATTTCAGAAGAAGATAGAAGATAAAATTATATGCTATCTATAAAATTTATGGAAATCTATATCTAATTTTTATACAAATCATAATAATATTAAAGAATATAATATCATAATAATATTTTTTTAATATAATATATATATATATAAAATTCATATCAATATTATATTCCATGCTCATCAAATGAATTTCATAAAAAAATAATCTTATTATTTTTTCAAAATATAATTTATTCGTTATCGCAAAATGTTAGATTATTATGATCTCTTTAAATAATCTTCTTATTAATAATCTGAATATATCGAAATAATCTTCTATTATATTTTTATTATTCTTCTTTATTCGGGAATAGATTAAATAAATAAATAAATATATATATATATATAGGAATATATATATATATATATTCAAGATTAAATAATATAAATTATCTAGGAAAATATTCTTCTTCTTGAATTCCTATAGATCTTCTATAGATCGATTCTTTCCGCATATTCAATCCCATATATTTTACGATCAAACTTATTCTTTGTTCCAGCCAGGCCTATGCAAGAGGCGCAAAAATTACCAAGGTTCATAATATATATATATATGGATAAGTCAGCCCTTATAGTTTTTAGCAGATTAGAAATTGATTTCGAAATATTTCCCTGCCGGATAATTTTATTCAAATCAATGCTTTGGCGTCGCTACGCAGCTTCTCAGCGCTGCCCGCCGCCCAACCGTCGAGAAGCCGCTCCAACTGATCTCGCAAGGCATCGCCAAGACCCGGTTGCCATGCCAGAGCAGCACAAACGCAGCCTGAGCTTACCTGTATACCCTTAAAGCCTCCTCAAACCTAAACCCCAGTTCCGGTGCCCGAAGTCTTAAGCAAGCCCCATGCGACCTGCAGCCAAGGCTGACATGGACGCAGTGACTCAGGCTTCATTCAGCTTCATCGAATAAACAGAAATCATACAGAATCAATAACCCTAATCCCTAGCCCTCAAATTCACGGGCCTCAATCGGAAACCGAAGGAAGAGCAGCGGGAATTATTCCGGCTTCTACATTAAACCAGCAAGACCCAGGTGCGGGCAAGAATCGATGAAAGGCCTTGGCATCTGGACCATTGCTTGTCTGTGTCACTGTCCATGTGGCATAACGGTATCTGAAATTGACGTACCTGGCACAATTGCGGTTTAAGGTTTGGAACTTTGCGCTGTTTTTAGTTTGGGGTTTCTCTTAGATTGAAATTCTCATTCAAAAGCAATAAACAACTTGAAAACAAGTTTAAAGGTTTTAGTAAAATTCATAATTCAAAGGCCTGATCTAAAGGAATCTCCTGCCACCATACCCTAGAGCTTAAATTCCACATTTAGTTTAAGGGCCCCGCGCTTACGTTCAACCACCCCAAACCCTAAAACCCTAAATCCTTAGCCCTAAACCCCAAAACCCTAAACCCCCAACCCTAAAACCCTAAACCCTAAAACCCTAAACCCTAAAGCCCTAAAACCCTAAAACCCTGAACCCTTAGCCCTAAACCCCAAACCCTAAACCCTAAAACCCTGAACCCTGAACCCCCAACCTCGCTGCCATCCACATGTCATGGGAGCCGCGGTTCATGGCATCGGACATGGCCATCAGAACTTCAACCATGAATGCCTGAGCTTTAGGCTTTGGGGTTTTAGGGTGTTGGGGTTTTGGGCTTTTAGGGTTTAGGGTTTTTGGGCTTTAGTTTTAGGGTTTTGGGCTTTAGGGTTTTTGGGCTTTTAGGGTTTAGGTTTTGGGGTTTAGGGTTTAAGGCTTTTAGGCTTTTAGGGTTTAGGGTTGTAGGGTTTAGGGCACTTACACCAAAACGACGAGTAGCTAAATTCAGGTCTGGGGCATGGGGTTGGCGTTTACGGCTGTAGTGTATAAGTTTCATGGAATAAAGAGTGGGTTCCCTGAAATCTGGGCCAAGCCCAAGGCGCATCATCCCGGAAACCCCTTGCAAGCAAGCCGAAGCGCCAGGAAGCCCGTAAACTTTGCACTCCCAACTTCCTAACTAAGCCCCTAAACCCTAAACCCTAAAGCCTGAAGGCCAAAAAGCCCAAAACCGTAAACGTGAAGCCGGCAGCTCTCCACCCTGAAGCCCAAAGCCCTAAACCCTGAAACCACAATCAAACGATAAACCCTGGGGTTTAGGGTTTAGGGTTTAGGGTTTGAACCCTCAAGACAGAAACACATAGAAACTGTTTGTTCCTGCTTGCCCATCCTGCCCAGCCCAGCCCCGCCCACCAATTCCAGGACCAGGTTGCTCAAAACTTTCGCCCAAACCGTTTCGGTCAAAACTTATTGGTACCCAACCCCTTGACAGCTTTTATAAACAAAAGTATCGAACCTATTGCCGGACCTTCTCTGCGGCCCATGGCACTGACTTAAGCTCACCCTGCAGTGCCACCATGCAGCCCTCGCCGTCGTACTCCTGCAAAGCACTGTGCTTGGTGGCTGTGGGTTCAGTTCTCTCGGACTTTAACAGTTTTCAGCATAAGAGTTGAGGTCTTAGGGTTCAGGGTGTAAGCGATACGCCAACACACCCGCACAGCCTACACTCCACACACAGAGAACTGTATAAGGGAACTGGCCACAAAACTCTACACACAGAGCCTGAAAAACCCTAAACACCAGAACCCAAAAGTCGAAACCCAAAGCCTTAAAACCCCAAAACTCTAAACCCTAAACGCTAAAACCCTCAACCCCTCAACCCCAACACACCCAGAGCCGGAACAGATCCTGCAAGATTCCGACGGTAACGCCGTCGAATCTGGCGACCCCCACCTTTCGTGTCAATCGTTGTCGGGCTTTACAGGGGTTCAAGCGTTGAGGGGTTTCGGGTTTAAGGGTTTAGGGGTTTCGGGTTTAAGGGTTTAGGGGTTTCGGATTTAAGGGTGTTAGGGGTTTCGGGTTTCAGGGTTTAGGGACTTTGGTTCTCCAGTTTCATTGTCGGGTTTTACAGGGGTTCAAGGGTCGAGGGCTTTGGGGCTTTGGTTATGGTGTTCGAGCGGCTTCATAAAGGTTCCAACACTGGGGTTTCTATCAGGGTCCCGTAAGAATGCCACGTAGGGTCTTGAGGGCGTTTTTGTTACGGTCTTTCGGGCTCTGTGCTTGGAGTTTTTGCGGACAAGATTTGGGCTCTACCAAAAAAGGAGCTTGGGACCTGCTGTAGTGTGCTGAGATATCCCCTTTGATCCCGTAGGGTTTCGGGTTCAGGAGTGGGCGTTTAGGGTTTAGGGTTTAGGAGACGGCTTTGGACCTCGACTGCAGCCTTAAATCAAGCCCATGGCTCAGAGAAAATGCCGTCCATCATAGTACATATCTCGAGTACACAGTAGAACTGAGGTGGGAACCCTAACCACTTCAACTGTACTCATCGGGCTTAGTGGGTAAGGTTTTTTTTTAAAGTGTAGTTTAGGGTTTAGGGTTTAGGGTTTAGGGTTTGGGTAGGCTAGGGTAGGTCAAAGTTATGGTCAGACGGTGCAGTTTCGGGGAGCCGCTGGTAAACACAATACGATGCAGGGCCCCATCACGAACGCCAGGAAGGAATTTTCGCGCGAACGTACCCAGAACGACTTTCTACCAAGACCCCGAACCTCCTGCCAAGAGAACAAAAAAGGCAAATGGTGGAAACCGAACCATACCGAACCCAGACCCCCACGAAGGGTCACGAAGATCCTTTGAAGCCTGCTTACTACCCCCGGATCCAAGTACGCACCTCAACTACCGGTTACTGCCCTAATCTCAAAATGTCAGAGCCCGAAAACACAACACCACCCTAAAGGGCAACATCCTGAACCCTAACGCCCATCTCTGAACCCTGCCGCAAAACCCGAAGCCCAAAACCCAGTCCGAAACCCCAAAAGCCCGAAGCCTGAACCCCCGAACCCAACATCCAAAACCAAATCCCGTGCCCAGACCCGAAACCCCAACACAAGACCCCTTCAGCGAACCCCGATAGAACTACGAAGCTGCGAAACCCCCTAGACATTCCTCAAGTTGCCCCGGAACTACTCCAAGCTATTGTTTATCCCTTCCAGAACTCCTCCATGAACCTCCATGAACATTTGTTACACTAGAAACCCGTTAACAAGGAACACCCGGAAGACCACAAAGCCTAAACCCTAGAACACCCTCCAGCCTAAACCCTCTGGGTCTTTTCCCTCAAGGGAGCCCCAAAGCCCCTAAGCCTTCCCCTTCCCAGGAGCCCTAAAACCCTCTAGTTCTTCCACCTTAAAGCAGCCCTAAAGTACGTCTCCCCCTTAGTTCCTAAAAGCTTCCGAGCCACCACTCGATGCCAAGCGGAAGCCTTGGCTGCCTCAACAGACACCTGCACCGCGAAGCCTGGGTGAAGGACAACAAAACTGGTGGTAGTAGTAGTAGTAGTCGTCGTCGTCGTCGTCGTCGTCGTCGTAGTGGTAGTCGTCGTCGTCGTCGTAGTAGTAGTAGTAGTAGTAGCAGTAGTAATAATCATCGTCGTCGTAGTCGTAGTCGTAGTCGTAGTCGTAGTCGTAGTCGTAGTCGTAGTCGTAGTCGTAGTCGTAGTCGCAGTCGCCGTCGTAGCAGTAGCAGTAGTAGTAGTAGTAGTAGTAGCAGTAGTAGTAGTAGTAGTAGTAGTAGTAGTAGGGGCCCCCCCCNNGTAGTAGTAGTAGAAGCAGTAGTAGCAGCAGCGGATGTAGGGCTCATGGGTCGTTTGAGGCTGAGAATGAAGCCTGGGTTTAGAGACCGGGCCTTTAGGGTGTTAGGGTGTTCAGGTTTAGGGCTCTGATCCCGATTCTCAACTTCCCCCTGCCCTCCCCCTTCTCCCCCAAACCACACACATACCACACCCTGGCCACCGCCCCCATTTGCGGCCTATGTGATGATGATGATGATGATGCTGATGATGATCCAAACCACAACCACAAGCAGACCCAAAATTCTTGGTGCTGAGGAGGTCCAAGTTCCTTTGCTTTAACTTCAAGGGTTTTGAGACCTGGCGGGTATATGAAGGGTGGCTTGGCTTAAGGAGACCAGAGACTCCTCCATTAAGGAATATACACACATATATATATATATATATACCTCATCATATTCGGCTTCCTACTGCACTCAAGGCCGTCTGGTTTTGGAGTGTTTGGGACAAAAAACCCAAAACACTGAACCCTGAACCCTAAATCCTAAACCCGGATTCAGGACAGTCGTGGGTTTTGGCTTTCGGGGGCGGGTTCGAGGTCTCAAGCTGTTCGGCTTGGGGTGCCCTTTAAGGGTACTGGAGGGTTCTATAAGAGGGTCCCCATTATGGGTTCGCTTGAGGATCACTATCATCACAGTTGCAACAGCAGTTTCCAAAGCGAGCAGTAAAGTTGTCGAGCAAAGCAGAAAGCCTGCTGCTAAACCGCAAACCCTAAACCCTAGCGAAGCGAAGTAGGTGAGGCCAGTCGCAAGACACAAGCACTTTGGAGTCCACCGTTTGCGCACTCGCATCCTCGAGTTGCGCCGTGTGAATGCTAGCCCCGTACGCTTTAGACCTCAGGGCTTATGCAGGGGACTCTGAACCCTGATCAACCCCTCATATTTAAGGGTTTGGGGTTTAGGGTTCAGGGGTTTAGGGTTTAAGCGTTGTTTAGGCTTACGGTTGTCTTTAAGAGATGTTCATGGTGAAACCCATGATCCTACCTTCTTCCCATCCCAAGAAGGGTACTAAGTTAACCGTGGTTCTAACTCTATAGCACGAATTGCCCAAGTTTCACCGATAGAACCATACACCGTGCGCCTCCCTGGTCTTTATCCTAAGCCCGATTAGGTACACCCTATCCTGTAGCTTGCACCTGTCCACCCTAAGCCCCAAATCCGAATGCATAGACCCTAACCGGTAAACCCTAAGCCCAAAAACCGAGTCCTCGTACACGATGGATCCGGAGGGATCTGGAGGAATCATGGCCGTCTCCCAGCGGCGAATGCGACCCCACGCCTTCTCAGAAGCTTCGTTCCACTCGGTCACGAACCTTGGTTTAGGGCTTGGGGTTCAGGGTGTAGAGCTTAAGGCTTAACTTGAGCTCAGACCGCTGGAAGGACCCAAGGGTGGATCCCTTTTAAAGGGGTTCATATAACCAACCCCTTAATTAGTAGAAAAGGGTCTCAAATTCGGGGATCTACTTTCTGGATCTTTCCGAGAATCTGGGAAGGAGGGGGGTTTTAGAGATTAGGGAATAGGGTATAGGGAGGGGGGCCAAGCGGAGTTTAAATTATGCCAAATGGTTTAGGGCGTAGGTTCAGGGTTTGGGGTTTCTGCTCAGGCGGTACCGGGCGAATTAGGCTGGTTATGTCGATTCCGGTGCAGATTGACTACGCTTAATCACTTTGGTGGTGCGGATACTGGTTAATGCTCTTATTGTGGGCTCTATGCTGAGAGGTAGATTCTCCAGGTAGATGTTGACCTCCTGATATTGCCGGCATTGAGTCAAAGGTCATCTCAGTTTCGGCCTTTGATAAACCAAGCTTATAGACTCAAAGACACTGGGATGTGCCTGCAAACTTAATCTAGGGGCCTATATAAATTAATTACCAGGACTATTTGGGTGTTAACATACCCCCAAACCCGTCAAAAGTATTAATGAGCTCCTATTACGAAAATCAAGAAGCCCTTAGCTAGAGTATAATATACCCCCCCCCCCC